TCTCCGGACGACGTGCTTCTCCGGACGACGTGCTTCTCCTGACGACGTGCTTCTTTTAATGATGTACAATTTACCCATTACACGCACCATTTCCGCGGCGTACGACCCATCCGCGTCCAACGTCTTGCCCTCTCATTTTCAACGCAATAATTCATCTTCTATCAACGCGCTCCGCGCATATGTATTTTTTTACTCTCCATTATCACACATTTTGCTGTCAGTACAAATACGAGCATTTGCTCGAATCTCTTATCCCACTACATCGCATCCCACTACATCGCATTTACCTGTAATTTTCATTCTAACGAAAATCTACGAACGTCTCGCAATTCTTCATTCATTCGAATAATTTTCGATAGCTTTTCATATCGATGCTCTCGTTTTCCATCCGGATCAGTCAAATTAATATGTCGTTGCATCAAATTCATTATAATCAATTTTTTATCACTTTGGACTGTTGAAGTCATCAGTTCGGGATACAAAGCTTATTTATAATTTATTTCCATATCCAACCGATCAGATAATATAATTTTGCTCGTTACATCCAACCCATTACCTGACATCTTCGGCATTCTTCATCCTTCCAAGTCTTTGCAATTATTAATTGATCTTTTTAAATGCATTATCTAATTTCTTCGACCATCTTCATCCAGCATTAAACCAAGAAGTTTTAATTGTCTAATAATTAAATTTTTCGGTTTCCCGCCAATCCAGTTTGCGGTGCGGGCGAACGCGCCTGTTTCCCAGCTGACCCGACTGGCCCGACGTTCTGCGTCCAGAAGAGGCACATTTGTGACGGATTTAGGCACTGCAGAGATGGCTCTGACGAGGCCTGCTTCAGATTGAGCCCAGATCCTCTAAGATCGCAGGTAAACACATTTTCAGGCCAGGTCAGCCACACGAGCAACAGCGTCCCCAGGCATCGTGTTCAGTCAAAAATGAACGGCGTTGTTAACGGTGGAATGTATAAAAAATAAATCTCTTTGTAAACTAAAAATGCTGTTATGGTCATTAATTATGTATTCGAAGGTAATGAGCAACTAGTAATTGATCAGTCCATTCTTCCTTTATCATGACTAAAGTGAACTGCACGTACATCCAAAAATGTCAAATGGGTATGTTTTACGTAGTTGTCGTCGAATTCGACAGTAATTTTTTTCAGTATCGGTCATTCCTCCATGCCAAGAAATAACTTCTGGTGTTAGAATAGCTCATAGGATTCCTCCACCCTATCAATCTCCCATCGTCAGCTACGTGCCCTTTACCTTCCTCTTAATTGACCCCTTATTCTTCTCCATTCTCTCCATCGTCCTTGTTTCCCCTGCCAGGGTTCAAGAGGCTGGTCGTCACGAGGGTTCCTGCAGAGTAGAGACGATGGAGGCTCTTGGTCACCCGTGTGTCCTACCGATGCGCGCATACCGAACCTCGTGAAGAACCTCTGCGATGAACTCGTCGGGGACAGGTAAGCTTCAACTTTGAATTGTCACTTTTGCACTTACTTTATTATTTTATTTTTTGTCCTCTCGAAAGTCGATCGATTGAAGAAAATGTTCTGTCAATATTTAATGCATTCTTTCTTCCTATTTAACTAGATGTTCAGATATTTTCTAAAATCCGATTATAAATTATTTGAGATTTTCTTCTCGAATTTCAATTTCAATAAAGCAAACTTGAAGCTTTAATGTTCCTGATTAACAGGACTAATTTTTTTAATGCTAAATTTTTCGAGAAAACAATTTGATGTACATGGTAAATAAATATTTGTGCCCAGTTTTTGAGAATCCAGCCTTGGTTCATTTTCAGAGGCAGCTCTGATGACTTTAAGAACGTCCCTAACGCGGACATAAGCCGCGGCAAATGTCCGTCCGGCTCGCTGGTGCACGTGACATGCGCTGCCGCATCCTGTCAGGGCGCCATAGACATCCAAGCGAGCACCCGCACCAAGTCTCCTTCTGTCGCGCCGAGAGGCGATAAGCCAAACAAGGAGGACTTCATTGACCCCAAAAGTAGGAAAAATTTAATAGTGAACCACGGTGAAGAATTAACTTTCTCGGTGCTAGTTTCAGTTATTACCAATGGAAATTTAAAATAAACTCATTAACTAGCTGTTTTATCAAAAGTGTTTGTGTTCATTTTGAAATGAGAAATTGTCCAAAAACTTTTAATGTCAGTTGCTCTAAAACATTGTTAATTGTCGATGACAATTTTTTATACATGTCGATGGTAACTTAACGCCTCGGTAACCATTTAAATTTACAAGTGCGCGAACATGCATTTTTGACAAATCGTAAGTGACAGAGAATAGCAATGTCAGTTTTGCAAAGGGCTGTTTGTGTCGAAGGTATTATTGAAACAATGGAGTTTCTTAAGCATGCATTAGGAAATAAATAAAAGAGTTCCTTTCGAACTACTGCGGGTAACAATTACTATCGTACGTTGCCTACGTAGTTTTTTCCGCATCTTCCAACTGATAGGGCTTTAAATATTACAAGACCGTATTTTATGGCCGTTTTCAGAGCGATTGATCGGCGGCGAAGACGCTCCAGAGGGGTCGTGGCCATCCATCGTCTCGCTGAGGAAGGACGGCGTCCATGACTGTGGTGGCACTGTGCTCAGTGCTTCCTACGTCATGGTCGCAGCTCACTGTATGAGGTCAGACTTTGAAACGAGTGCAACTGGTAGAGCTCAGCTCTTGACGAAGTAGCTTGATATAATTATCTCCTTGTTTTTAGGTTTTTTAGGCTAACTGATGCGTTTTTCTAACGCGCTAATTTACAGTCTAACTTTTCAATTCAATGATAACTAATAATGAATTCTTGACCCAATACTCAAGACAGAACAATGCATAACTAATTTTTTTGAATCACTGTTCTGCTCCAGGCGACCCAGAAGTCACTTGTTTGAAGTGCATGCTGGTCTTTACAAGCGTTCGACTTTTGCTCCGACTGCTCAGCTCGTTCCAGTCGACAAAGTTTACGTCCATGTCAACATTTCTTCCAACTCGCTGGTGAACGACATCGCAATCCTACACCTCAAAGAACCTCTTCATCTCAACAAGTGAGGTTTTTCTAATCCAACTGCACACTTTCCACCTCATTTTTTGCACTCCACGTGCACACTTAGCCTTGAAGTAATTGTGCAGTATTTCCAATATCGGCCAAAAAATTGTTGAAGCTGCAACTTGTTCACGTTGCGTGTACCCGAGGAAAATCGATTTTCGAAAAATCAACGCTTGTCGTTTGGCACAGTGTTTAAAGAAATTTTAAAACCTAAATTGATACGTTTTTTCATGGAACAGCTTCTAAAGCTTCCAAATTTCATAAAGACCAGACACCATCAATCCATTTTAATGCATATCTCATTAATCCATTTCACTGAAGCAAAATGTTTATCATGGTCCTTAATATATTACAATCTTGGTCCTTCTAAGCCAATCTTTTTAGCGCATTTTCTCATTTTTGGAAAAAATGCACTATTGTGCTCGCCATGTCCGTCTGTCCGTCCGTCCGTGACCTCAAGTTTTCTCGTCGATGAGAAAATGCGCTCTCTGTCACTCACTGCAGTGAGTACTGAATTATATATTTTTTTGAGCGATTCTTAGTTTCGTTTCTTTCTGCCACGCTGAAACAGGCGTTGAAACTATCTCTCGCGTAATAATGTTTGTTGAGCTACAGATCTTTAAATGCCCTTTACTGCTATTCAGGTCTTGAGCGCTTGTCTTCAAGTATTATATATTTTTCATAAGGATACTAATGAATCTTTTCAATAAGTTATACAGATTTCAATATGTGTTTGACCCGTAGGTGGGTGAGGCCAGTATGCCTGCCAGACTCCAGCAAGGTGTGGATCATGGGTCACGAGTGTGCCGTGGCTGGCTGGGGTTTCATCGAACCCAGGACTCACACTGGTGAAGTTGGCGCCATTTATTACTACTGATATTGGAAGCTTATTACCGAATGCAGCAAAATCAATATATGCCCAATTTTTTTAATCAATCCCAATTTTTATTTTAAAGTTTTAGCACCTTTAATAATTAATATAAATAGGTGTCTTAACAAAATGCAATTCTTTTCTACACTAAAAGTTTCCTAGATACTAATGAATGATTAATAAATCACTGCCATAGGAATTTAAAGATTAGAGATTGCACTCCGGATCATTGATCGTTGTGTCTTTCGAAGGCTGAAGTTCTTAATTTACTGCAACAGTGGATCGCCTTCAACACGCCCTGCTGCCCATCAGCAGCCCCCCACAGTGCCAGCAGGTCTACGGCCTTCAGAGGATACCAAATCTTGACCAGGTGAAGAAAATGTTAACTTGAGACATCAATGTGATGCAGCGACTAGTTGTGATGCAGCGACTAGTTGTGATGCATCTGGTCCTGCCCTGAATAAAATCATGAATTGCAAATATAATATAAATAACTTACCTATATAACTATTTTTCAAAGTTGGGCAACTTTGTGTCTGTAATTTACAAAATTAAGAAAGATCTAGTTTTAGTTAAGTTTTAGTTTTAATGAATAGCCCTAACTTGTATTCATTCTGATCTGACGGCGCCTTAACCACCCGGCAAACTAATAAATACTGAACTAAATGCCCAGAATTGTCAATATGACTTGCTCTAAAAGATATTATAGTTTTTATTGGTAATTATTTACTCATTCATTACTCATTAACCAGGACAAAATATTTTCATTTTGATTACTCGATGTTTGAGTTTGTTTGCCGTGTGCGAGGTGCTGTGCGCGGGCCTACAGGAGGGCGGCCGGGACGCTTGCAGCGGGGACTCAGGCGGACCGCTCATGTGCCGTGTGTGCGACACTCGCGGCAGCATCCTTGACTGGTGCGTCCAGCCTGGGATTTTCGGGTTTCTGGTGATCACATTTCTTGTCACACTTTAATTACTTTAATTAGGAGCTAAATGTTTAGTTTTTGGTGGTTTAGCGCATCATATTTCTCGGCACACTTTAATTTCTTTAATTAGGAGCTAAATGTCGAACTTTTTGGTTTAGCGCATCATATTTCTTGGCACACTTTAATTTCTTTAATTAGGAAATAAATTTTTAGTCATCGGTGGTTTATCGCATGACTCCTGAATATTCCTTTTGTTCCTGTGATATATGCATGCTGATATTCTAGTGGTTCTTTTATACGAGGATAATCTGGCTCCACCTATATGCTTGGATATTCTTGCTAGCATATTTTTTACTCGCACCCTCACCAAAACTTCCCACTCATGAGGGAGGATATTATGACACTTGTCTTGGTCCGTCATGAAGCTCTTAGTTCCTCTACCATATCAATCTGTCTCCGGTGTGGCACCAAGCTTAGATCGTGTAAATTTAATTTTTTTTGGCTGTCCTCGTCAATTCTCTATCTCCCACGAATAGAAAATGGAGATGCATGCTCATTCTATGCATACATGAGAATATTTTTCGATATCATACCTTTCCATGGCACTATTTCAGTCATCATTTTCCTTAGGTTCTACTTCCGGATTCATCTACCGTCATTTTATTGGCCGTCCAAACCTCGCTGGCCATTTTAAATATGGCGCATGGTCCACGAGTGCAAATATGACCATCGATGCCTACGCCTTCTAAGGGAAAAATAAACAAATTTTCTTAGCAATGCATTTTATTGAGCGTTTTTTCGAGGCCATTATATTTAACAAAGTATTCCTCCTAACCGCTCTAGCCACAGCCGAGGAAACCTGTGGACCCAGGACGGCATCGTGTCCTTCGGCAAGGGCTGTGCCGAGCCTGGAGTGCCTGGAGTCTATACGCGAGTGCAATACTATCTGCCCTGGATCCAGAACATTCTAAGTATGATTTATATTACTGGTTTAGCATAGGTGTTGTTTGTTCTAGCATAGACGTCGTCAGTCTTGGCACATGTCCTTTGTTTTAGCATAGACGTCATCTGTTTTTATCCTCTCGTGTCTTTTTTAGCCACTTGTAACGTGCCCTCGAAGTTCGATCCGAACGAGACGCCACGACAATCTCTTCGTGGAATAATAATAATAATTAATATCTTATAGGTATGATTAAAACATTCTATGAATTATTTAAACCTTGTTATGTATGATTTATACCTTATAAATATGATTAAAACATTCTAGTTATGATAAAAACATTCTAAGTTTGATTGAAACATTCAAGTATGATTAGAACATTCTTGGTGTGATTAAAACTTTCTAGGTGTCGTTGAAAAATTCCGAGTATGATTAAAACATTCCAGGTATGATTGAAACATTCTTGTACGATGGTTACATCCTCGGGACATAACCAATGTCTCCAATGGAGATAAATAGATAGGATATCGCCTATTTGGCTTGACAACTTTTTTGATACAACATTTATTAGTACAATTTCTTCAAAGCTATATTTTAAATAGATATGATGTCGCCTCCTTTGCTTGAGAATATTTTGTTAGAACAATATTTATCCTGTTACGACACGAAACTTGAAATTTCATAGATTATATATTTCAGATTTCTGTTTAATCCCATCCCTCTAAATTGTGCGACTGTTAAATTTTTATATAGCTATTTATGTCGCAGTTGAGTATTGTAGTATTAATGTTTTCAACACTGCATGATTCAGTTTTGTTATATTCAATTCGTTAGCTGCAATTCAGGACGGATTGCTTGCCCAACAAAAGACCTATTCCACCCAAACCAAACTTTTCATCGTCATATAATTAATTTATTTAATTAAGATATTTCTTTTTCTTTGTATACTTTTTCTTTGTTTCATAACGATTTTAATTTATATCGTTAATCCAAGAAAAATCTCCACGAACCAGTTACTGGAAATATCTCGAGAGATGCACAAACAATCTGCATTATATGTAATTTGACAAGCTGTCGGTTTTACAATCAGACCATTTTCAGAATTATTTATTTTCAACACTCAACCCAAAAGGTTCGCAGTTTGATCTGCAATGTGTATAGCATTTTGCTCACCTACAATGCAGATTCCACGTACAAGGCCAGTGACGTGACTCTCTACGAAGTGTCAACTGCAGCTCGGCATTATTGCCGCACGCCTTTCAACGCCAGCTTACCGGATGCAAAATTTTGTGATGGACATGTGAGTTTCTCGACTTGTTTGCGGTTGGTTATTAAAAAGCGAAGAATATTTTACTAAAAAATATCAAATTAAACTTAACGGGCAGACGCGTGTTTTTGAATTGGCTGACTCTTTTGAATAAAGCCTTAAAAATTGGCGGACCCTGAGGAAGATTTCAATAAAGTCAAACTAATTAAATAATAAAATAAATATTAGAAACTTTGTACAAAACATGTGTAATTTTTATGGATCACTAAACACGGTTCTCAATTTTTCATAAACTGCAGATAGGTGTAGAGAATTGAGGTGTATGAACCAAAATTTTTTTCGCAGAGGTCCATGCATCTTACGGAACATCATTTTAGACTTTTACAAATATCCAAATCCCGAATTTCTGATTGAAAAACCCAATTCATATGAATTCCTAGCGTGCCTGTAGACCGCTGAAAATTTTTCAGTGTTAAATTTGATTAGTTTGTTAATTTTCAATTGCATATGATTAAAGGTGGACTGTTTGGATGCCGAAGACGAGCGCAACTATCCGGCCTGCCGTAAGGCTGAGTCCGCGGCAGTACCGGAAGCCGACAACTCGTTCCAACCGCTGGCTCTAGCCTCCACAACCGCTAATCCAACCGGAACAAACACCACGTGCCCCTCTGGCTCCTTCCAGTGCGCTACTGAAGGGTATGTCACTTGCTAGGGAATTGATAGCACTTGTTTTTCTTTGTTGCCTATATTTTGGTCAGCAAATTTTTTTTCGTTTATCTTATGGTCATTTTTGTTGATTAACATGTTATTAATAACTGAGTAAATTAACTTGGGGGAAACTTGTTTACTAAGACTGCGCATTTATCGGGAGAGAAACCTCTGTGCTTTTCATACAAGGACCTTAAATCATGCACCTGCAACGTCTGGAGTTCTTTTAACTTACCTTCCTACCTTCAGTATGCATTACCAGCGTCAGTCTTGCAGCCGCTTTGCAGAAAACTGTTCTTGAAACTAAAATAACAATTGAAATTTGTAATAAGTTGATTCTTTGTATTACGAACAACTTCACGTTTTCCTTTCATTTATGAATTCATTCTCTCAGCTGTAGCGCATTTATTTACAGTGTCCAGTAAAAGTGCGAGTGAACTCGGTTGTCAATAATCTATTAACCTTTAATTTGCAACGTCCTCACGAGCTCGACTATATCCGACTGATGTTCGGTGAAAAAAAAAATTGATCACTTCACTACCTACCCGTGACATTCCGCTTCTAGGGAGTGTGTGTCTAGTAGCGTTCGGTTAATGTCCGGCGAATAAGCTTAATCGCTTCACTACTTACCCTTCATACTCCGCTTCTAGGGAGTGTGCGTCTAGTAGCGTTCGGTTAATGTCCGGCAAATAAGCTTTATCACTTCACTACTTACTCTTGACATTCCGCTTCTAGGGAGTGTGTGTCTAGTAGCGTTCGGTGCGACGGTTCTTTGGACTGCCAGGACGGCTCCGACGAGATGCGCTGCTCGTGTCTCTTGCGTCTCTTTGCCGCACGCAAGTCTCTGCTCTGTGACGGCATTCCTGACTGTCCTGACAGCGGAGATGAGGCTTGTCGTGAGTCGTTTTACTTTCCTTCAAATAATTTTTACTTACTGGAAAACAAATACTGTTGCTTATATTGCCTCTAATAATTTGGTTGTGATCGTTACTTTCGGTATCTTCTATCTTAGGATAATCTTGATGATCATAGTCGGTGTGACTGTTTCGTAGCGTTTCGAACCCCAATTTTAATTGAACTATTTGACCTAATTTAACTGTCGAATTCTATGAGGTGATGATACAGAGAAGAAGACGAAGTATTTTCAAACGTCCTTTTGTACCATGTAACCATCTCGTGTAACGAGAAAATCGTCCGATTAATAAATGATAAGCGTCTCCGGCAGCTTTATGTCCCGCGGACTCGCACGAGTGTCGCGAAAGCAAGCAATGCGTCTCTAAGAAACGAGTGTGCGACCAACGTTTCGACTGCACTTTTGGTGAAGATGAAATTGGATGCAGTGAGTAATGAACGATGGGCATTCATCTTCATGCCTACGGGGACTACCGAACAATTTAATTCAATTTCGCGGTCATGATCTGGTCACGCTTCCAACCTATAAAATTTTGATTATCAAATTTTAAAAAATATACTTTACAAATCCCGATTGTTAATATTCTCCTTACTTGCCCGAATAAAAGATAATTTTGTAAAGAAAATTTTTCAGAGTTGAGAAGTGTATTTAAATATTATATGAAATGTCTTCGTTAAACTCAAACCTGATATCTCTGCAATATAAAACGGATTTTCTTTCGCAATTTATTCGCTATGAAATACGAGTATTATTAAAAAATTACATGGTATGTTTTTTAAATGCATTCTCAGACATATTCCTCCAAACAGAAAACCTATTTATTTCGTTTAAATTTATTGATTCAAACTTATTGCATCAAATAGTTATGTAAAATAACGTATAATATTACAGTAAGTTTGGCAGCAGCCAACAGCGAAGTTCTGCTCGGCGCTGACGACGCGCCGGTGCGTCGCAACGAAGGCTTCCTGGTCATCAGGAGCGGCGCCTCGTCCGTCTTCAGTCCTCTCTGCACCAACGACATCCAGCCACAAAACCTGGACCAAGTGTGCAACTTCTTGGGATATGAGTAAGTCTTTCATGTCGAGTAATTTATTGTTGAGTGAATATTTCAAATTTGGGGGCAACAACCACCTCATTCTACTCTTCATTTTGCCAATAAGCATTAAATTCCATGTCATCAGGTACAATATCTAACTCATTCTTATTTAGTTATAAATAATTTTACCCTCTTATTTATTGTTGCATTATCCATTTTAGTGCCCCGTTTATTGTTGCATTATTAATCAATTTACTCTGCCCTTTATGTGGTCCTTAACATTCAGGGTAAATTTGCATGAAATAATTTCTCAATTTTATGTATGCATTTATTGACGAACCAAGTCTCAGACTCAAATAATCAGGATGTGCTACACTATGATTTGTTTTGAGTAATGATACGCTCTACATTTCTACATTAAAGAAAGTAAAGACAGATTTCAATGCTTTTCTAGTTGAATCAGCTAGTTATACCTAGATCATAGATTATTCTCAACATGCAACCGATTTTCGTTTTAAACATTAATTGTTTGTATACATCACAAGTGCGTCGCGTCGCTGATGCTGATAGTAACGTAGGTTCGATCGCCTACATTCCATAGGTTATCACTAATATGACTTCCATTTTGATGAATTCACGCAGAAATCAAACTGGATCCCGATACGTTGAGGCGCCAGCAACGACGGTTTACCTGAGCCGCTACGAAAGTCGCTCTTCGTTTACTGTCGACGGTGAAAAGAATGCCTATCACGGAAATAGCGAGGCCATCGAAGATGAGCGTCGAGATCAGTCTCCACGAGAGGGCGCGCAGGCAGTGGAAAATCAAAAGTTGGGGCTTAATTCTGCTAATTTCACAGCAAATTCGGACGCAGGAGAAGAAATTGATCAAAACCCTCCATTAAACATCAGAAGAAGGTCCAAGAGACAAGCTGATTCATCTAAAAAGGACCAAAAGTGCAGTCAGGTGAGCATGCGTTTAACTAAAACGAAAAAGGAAAAAATTCATAGATGATTGAACATAGAATGAATTTTTTCAAGGCCTCTTGAAGCCATTACTAATACCAAAGAGTTTTTTCCTTTGAAAATATTATCAAAAAGCATGAATATTTCAACCCCAAGTTATTTTCGGCAATCTATACCATATTATTGAATTACAATAAAATGGGATTGAAATAAATCCCTTCACATCCATGATGCTTCAAAAGTGAAGCATCCATTAATCAGCTATCTACCCATATTGATTTCAAAATTGTGCATTCATCCGAATTCGATATTTTTAATTTGTTTTCTGTCAACTCCAGGTTTATGTGACCTGCGGAAACGCCAAGTGTGGCATCGTGCCAAGAATTCTCAGAGGTGTAGCCAACTTTACAGGTAATTTTTTCTTAGTTAAACTCCATTACAAGTTCCTAGTGTCAGAACTCAGAGCATGTCATAAATATTTTGCCGATCGTTCGACTGCAGAATTTTGCTCGTTGAAGCGTTCAACACACAAACCATAAATCCCATTAATTGAGGAAAAATTGCTCTTTCGCTAAAACCCTAAAGAAAAAATAAATAACTGTGTCCCCCATAATTCAGTGAAGATTAAGTCTATTTGACAATATTTTTCTTCTTGTTATACATTTGGTTACTGGATAACTTTATTAAATACCATTTTATTATTGCGAGCAGATCGAATTTTGTTCTCACGCTAATTTTGAATTTGAAGGTTTTGGAAGCCAGCCTTGGGCTCTGGGAGTTTATTCCGGAGGTCAATACATCTGCGGAGCAACTCTGATAACCCCTCTGTGGGCCGTCGCCGCCAGAGGGTGTGTTGCTGAACGCATGTAAGTTCGAAAAAATTCCGTCTATCTTGATTAAATTAAGTAATTAGGATATTTGTATCGGTTTAGTTTCTCGGCTGAATGCAACTAAATTTTCGCCTTCGCTCGCTCATATGTAGGTAGTATTTCTTATAACAATCCATCTTTCATACGAAATTTTTTGGGAGTAATTGCTAAGTATCCAAGACAAATCTTGGGAAGAATAAAAAATGAATATTTGTAAATTAAGTCGATTCCCTAAAGATTTCCCAGAGATTCGAACATCTTAGTAAAATATCAGTAATGTATGCCGCAAATTTTAAGAGGTAATGTCAAACGATACCTATCAAGTTTTTTTTTATTATTTGCTAGGAACGCCTCAGCCTCGCTGCTGGTCGTGGGGGGATCGCACCGCGGTGTGGTCTCCAGCATGCGGGTCAAGGGGCCGTTCGAACGCGAGAGTTCAGTGATGCAAGTGCAGTCTCTCTCGGACCAACTACTTCTGCTTCGACTTGCCACCGAACTCAACGAGACGAGCCACATCAACCCTTTGTGTTTACCAAGAAGGTAAAAGTTCAACTTATTACCTCGGTACATGAAGTGATAAGTAATAAACTGTAACCCAAAATCAGCTAAGAAAGAACCGGCAACATTTTATTATACTCCTTTCCTTGCTAATGTCTCGGAAACGAGCTGCATATGAATTCTAAGCATTACATGGGCCAGATATGCATATTGTATAGTTCACATCAAGCATCGATATGATTGTTAAAATCTCGCCATTTGCATAATAATTTCGTCCACATCCAAGGACCCCGACGTGGCCGGGCGCGTGGGTGCGCTGCGCCGTGGTGGGTGACGACGGGGAGCTGCTCACCCGCCACCTCCCCTTACTGCCTGCCAGCGCCTGCCCCGCACACCGCGTCTGTTTCCAGCCCTACGACGTGCCTACGAACACGTGCCCCGTGCGTCACTGCCTGCCACTCGTACCTCATTGCCTGACACTCGTACCTCACTGCCTGCCACTCGTACCTTATTGCCTGACACTCGTACCTCATTGCCTGACACTCGTACCTCATTGCCTGACACTCGTACCTTATTGCCTGACACTCGTACCTTATTGCCTGACACTCGTACCGCATTGCCTGACACTCGTACCGCATTGCCTGACACTCGTACCTCATTGCCTGATACTAGTCATACCTCATTATTGCACTTCTTTGTTTCGTCTTGATGTCTCTTCGACACTCAATTGTGGTGATGTATCATTGTTATATTACGTCGATCCCATTTTACTTAAGACTTCTAAGTCATTTACTTTCGCACGCTACCACTTACATAATTTTCTACTAATGTTGATCAATTTCTAAGCATGATGATAGCACCTACTACACGTATTATAATTCTGGAAGTCGATTCCTATTTATAAATGTGGTTCTGCGATTTTTGTATAATGCTAGTTTGTTTTTCTCCTCTTAGTAATCAATTTAATTTTTCTCCTTCGCAATATTTTAAATTAGTACATAATATTCAATCCGTGACTTCAAAAATGTAAACATTACTTTTACTTTAACTATTTGTAAGACTTTACCAATGCATCTCATTCGATACAAGTGGATATAAGGGTAAAAAGACGTAAGTGAACTTTGTCAGAGGTTCTCGTGTAAACAAAACCCAAATTCCAACAGTCGTTATCACACTCGTGCCTTGGTTCGGTACCACTTTTCCAACTATCAGGTCTCAACTACCATGCATTACAGCCACCTAGTCATTGGGTCAATACGTTCCGTCCAGGTCAGTTTGTTTGTTTTAGTAATTATTTCATAAATTTTGATTTTCATTGTCATTAATTGTATACTTTCCATTCAACACGCTGACAGAACCGCTGGTCCGGCCTCATCGCGTGCATCAACAGCACTGACTCCAAAGCCCAACACGTTGCCGTGGGCCACTGGCATTACAACAGCACCGGCTGCTCCCGCCCCACCATCCACGAGCTCCTCACTGACGACCTTTTGCTCTCCATCAGGCTTGGCATGAGTAATTTATAATAAAATGGCATTTGATTTTATAACAATAGGACGACTCAACCATTGTATAGCGACCTTCTGGGTACCTAAAGGGCGCAACCTCTGGTTAGTCGGACATGACGTAAATAAATCACTTGAATACGATGCACCTGAGGATTTAAAACTATTGATATACAACCTATTTATACTTTAATTAAGCAATTTAAAATAACCTAAAATGGTTTGTGATTGTCGTTAACTACTATGAAATGAAATTTTTTTAATACTGAACATCAAAGTATCGGAAATGCATTCAAAGATGGGCGTTAACGATTTTGGGTGAAATTCCGTGATTTCCATTGCTTAAATTGCTGATCTAAAGCATATAATGCTGGCGGTTCTTTTATTGACTTGAATTGGATTTATTATTTGTTGAATAATCTTACCAAAAAGATATCCCGAAAAGCTTCAATACATGAGTATTTACTTAATACATGATTTATTGCCCATATTTTACAATTCGCTCTTGATAATCCATTCATTTCATCTACTTCATCATGAGCTCCATGAAAATAAAGCCTCCATGTTGGAGATGAAGCCTCAAAAATCCATGAGCTCCATGAGACTAACATCATGTTTAGCCCATGTTTTCAGACACCTGGCATTTACTCGATGCAAAAAATAATTTGTATAGTAATTTTTGTATCATAGATATAAGTAATGACGTAACACTGAATGTCCATGCCAGTTCTGCCGTCACCGATCACACGGGCTCAGTGCTCGGGACACGCTTGCCCTTTTGGCAAGTGCATCGCCCCGGAGCGAGTATGCGACGGTGTCCCGGACTGCGCGGACTTCTCCGACGAGCTTGCTACATGTCCCATGCCAACTATGAGGTGTCGGGAGCCTAGAGGGCCTGTCCAGTGCAGTGAGTAATCTCAGGATTGTCTTTTTACTAAAAATTAAACCGTGCACTATGTGTGATTTTCAGAATCAATGAAGAACTCTACAAAACATGTAAAAATGCGCTATAATGATTGCTGATTCTTCCGTAACTATCGAATTTGCAATTTTGTTTACAATTGCGCCCCTAGCTTGCCCTGTGGACCAGCGACCCTGCTGGGACGGCTCGTGCATCGCTTCAGAGGCGTTCTGTGACGGCAAGCAGGACTGTGCGCGCGGAGAGGATGAAGCCAACTGCTCGTGTTCTGTAAGTCTTGTTGAGGGCAAGAATATTGCTTTGAAGTTGAAATATACCATGATAAGGTGAAAAAATTTCATTCGCGCATATTCTAGGCTCGCCAATATCACTAGGATCACTAAAAGTATATAATATTTACCACATCGTCTACTAATCAATGCTATCGTTGCATCGTCACCATCTTACGGCGGAGATATTAAACTAGTAGTTTATGTTATTGTAGAGCAGGAGTACAAACACCCCTCTAAAGAATAAACTAATTTAGGATATTTTCTCTGATCCGGCACTTTATGCAGCACTTGAGCTAACTCTTCACATTAAAATGAATGTTTTTAGATAAAGGCTTATAAAATCTGAAGCTCACTGGTAGAAAATTACCCGGATGGACCATTCATTGCAAATTTATTAATGACGAAAATTCTCTCAGCACCGCATTTCATGTGATATTCAATCGTCTGCCTTAGCAAAGCATCCCCGCACACATTCATCTAAAATTTTAAATCCTGAAAGTGTGTTTTTTCATCTAGTTAGTATAAATATTAATTAACGGTGAACAAAGAGCATCATGTTGGGAGTTCATTGTAAGTCGGAGTCCATCTGTGCGCCAAATTAGCCGTGCCGACAGAAATCTCTCAAAGCATCCCCGCACACATTCATCTAAATCCTGCAAGCGTGTTTTTTATTTAGTTAGTATAAGTATTAATTAACGGTGAACAAAGAGCATCATGTTGGGAGTTCATTGTAAGTCGGAGTCCATCTGTGCGCCAAATTAGCCGTGCCGACAGAAATCTCGCAGGATAAACCAACTGATGTCGGGGAAATTGGCGGACGCGCAATTGACGACATGGTAGGAACATACAGTAGATAGACCTGTCGCCTCCTCGAAGCGAGGACTGCGTCGCGCGTGACGCCAGCCAGACGTGCGCACCACTAATAATTGAAGAAATTGCAAATAGATAATGTTTTTAAATTGGTGAAACAATAAATACATGATGCCTGAAGTTACACCATAAGTTAGTCTATATAAATTACGGTTGATAATGGGCAACAAGACGTGTACATTTTTTGCATTCTTTATTTGTTTCGTCATCTATAATATAAGAGAACTTATGAGATGATGACCAATTAATCCATTATATATGAAGCCTCCATTTCAACTATGAAATTATATTGTATATTTGTTTAATTGTTTATTTATTAGCTGTTACGGCTGAACAGCTGAACAGTGTTTTCACGATTATTTAAAACAGCTGTCGAGCAAAGCGGACGTCAATGAGAAACACCTAACCAAAAGATCAAATTTGGCAAGGTAGACAATTAAAATCCATACCGCAATTTACTGATTTGTTGCTGTTTTCAGACTGATGACACACGGTCTTTAATTAAGACTTGAGAAACCAATTACGGCTCTCCGGAACGCGTAAAAGTTTGTTTAGAATCCTGGTAGCCTTTACTAAGAGAGTGGCAATTAAAGAGAAGAAATGAACGAAGATTTGAAGAGATACATATATGTTTGTGTAGAACCGCTCGGCGCACACGTTGTTGTTTACTCTGCAGTCGTAAAAGGTCGTAAACAATTTCGCTATGATTGGTAGCTGATAATTATTCCCTTGAAATTGTGACACAAAAAGAACGCGATTGGATTAAATATTGCCAATCTAATGTACTGTGATAAGGACAGAATTTAACCCTCACTTTGCAGAAGCTGACGGCTTTACGGCCCGACGCTGTATGCGATGGTCACATCGACTGTCATGACGGGGAAGATGAACGTCATTGCGACTGCCCTCCTAGCCGCGGCTTTAGATGCTTCTCGTAAGTCGTGAGGCAATAAATCCTCAATTATACTAATTAAAAATATTATCTTAATGTTTAACAGTGTTTTCCATGACCGTCTTGAAAATATGAAGGTCTTTTTTCTCCTTCCCACTCGCAATTGTTACGAATATTAATTATAAAGTTTCGTCTATATCGGTATTACCACCATCCCTTTTTTGGTCTGGGACAGGAAGGTAACCTTGAAAACTCTCCGATTCATTGATCTTTTCGTCACATAACAGGTCTGGCAACTCGCGAAGTTGCCTCCCACTTCACTCCCTCTGCAACTTCACCAAGGATTGTCCCCAAGGAGAAGACGAGCAGTTTTGTTCCGCGTTGCTTGCCGTTTCTACGACCAGTGACGTCAGCTCTCCTATAGACAGCAGCCTGATTGTCATTGACCAGGACGTTCTTGGGTGAGATTCTTCACTACTGTCTCAAACATTCTTAAGTAAAGTGATGCCAGTATTTGAGTGCAATTTTTTAGTAATTTAAAGGTTTTATTGCTATATACAGTACATAGGTTTGTCGAGTACCTAAGAAGCAATTAAGAACTAACTGATGAGTTTACTAATCGATTTTGAAATTTATAGGAAGTAGACTCATAATATTTAAGTCGATAGTTACCTCTGAAATCACTTAATTAAATTGTCCATTTTATTAATGAACTAATTTTTGTGACTATAATAAGTAAGTATCGCCCATACCGGTTATAATTTATTCCAGAAAACTTTGATCTTGAACCTGCTTATCGAAAATAATCCGAAATCAGTCGCTTGTTGTTAATATGATAGAAAAATGTTATAAGTCACATCATATTGTCTTTGAAAATAAATACAAATAACTGACATAATTTAACACAACTATCACAGGAGAGGTTTTTAGTAAAAAAAAAACTAAAAAAACCTAGTGTGGGCTATTGCATGTTATTCCAATTCCGTAGCGAAGTATATGTTTTTTTATATGGTGCCATAGACCAGTTGGTGATTGGCAGAGCTGTTGTAATGAAGCCTGATACGTTATCAGATAAGAATGTTGTGGTCACTTCTCACTCGGCGCGAAATTCGAGCAAACTTCATATAGACACCATCGCGAAAAATATTCGAATACGGCTGTGATACTGTCCTAGACAACGAACAACATAGTACTGTAACTCGGAAAGTGCAATTGAAAGCATTTACATGGTTATCCCATGGCTAGATCTCAAACATTTTCCTCATAAGATTTAATTAACACTGTGGGATCTAGTAGCTTTCCTGTACATTGTACAATCTTGTAGCATTAAACTGTTGATAAATTTATCTTTTAGATTTTTTTTATTTGACGGCTCAGGAACGACCTTTCTTTATTGATGTGATGTCATTTATTCTTTATTGAAGGAAATTCCAACTGGTGATAAATTTAAAAAATAATTTAATTAAGTAACTTAGCCTAATCATTATAAATTGTATTTCCCTGGTCACATGAAAACAGCGTTTATCCGAACATTTTACGTTACAAGTATTTTATCCTGAAAAGTCTGCTCACGCGGCATTTCGATTCGAGTCTTCGCAGTGGCCGAGATAGTCGTTTCATTTTTTTTCATGAGCCGAAGTTATTGTTAAGCTACGTAATTGAAACAAACTGTAGTTCATCTTTCTAATTGCGATTATCAGTTTTTTTATTATGTAATGTAATTTACTAATGAAATTAGAATTTATTTAACTTGTTATTTTGATACCTTGCATTCGAGATGATTTATTAAATACTGAAGATACAATACCGAAAATGTTGAATCATTGTTATAGAATGTATGTTACGCACAATCGCCCAGAATTGTGAGCGTCATTGACCGATCCGATGCAAGCAGCCCTGAACCCTTTGTGGAATTGATTTCTTCTTATTTATGCTGACCGATTATTAATAGATTTCCTGAAGCAATACATGAATAGCATAGTGGGTATCAAGTGCTTCTCAATATTCATGATTTACCGTATTCTTATATGCTCTATTATTACTGGAAGTCAATTTCGTTTTAAATCATTTCGATCGTCATTGCTCATCTCCCCCCAGGAGGCCTAAGGAACGGAGTGCTGGTTTGTTCATGCTGAGATACCGCGGTCGATGGTACACGTACTCCTACAGTGCATGGCCTCGGGAATACTCGGAGGACCTCTGCAAGAAACTCGGGTTCAGCTCCGCCATCACCACCAAACGGACGCTCATGCCAAACTTCAACACTGATCCGGATACAGTCGAACGCTCCGTTCAAGGCATTTATAGATCTACGCCGGGCGACGACGCTTTGGATGTTGCTCATATCCAGTGCAGCTAAAATGAGTTCTCATCAAAACATTTCAAATTTGAGAATATTGGGCAAAAAATAGTTGATAGTAGAGGCGTTGTAAAGCCACTGTGATGCAAAATTATTGTTGATCAGTTGTATTTCTCTTTATTACATATTTTATTATTAGTAAGTATACTCAAACGGCTCTAATTTTAATAGCCGATTTCGACTGATTTGCAGAAAAATAAAATCTCAAGTTATACAAAGCAGCAGCGAATATCCGAATCGTATAGTATTTAGCGTTTTTTCGTATATGTAAATGAGGTATCAACATTAACTGTGTAGTTATGTTTCCGCTGCATTCAGAGATTACTGTATATTCTGTTCTTGCATCGTTGTAAATTGTTATTTATAAATCCACCAGCTGGACTCGGCTATCGTGGAGTAATAAAGAAATTTCTAAGAATGTTCACATGAATAATGCCGATCATCTCTAGATATTAGGCTGTCTGAATTTATCGTCCGAGATGTCATACGATGCCGTGCACTTTTACGTAACGTCTTTACGAAGGAAACCATGCGCCGTCATCTAAACGAGCCATTGAGTTCTGCCACAAGACGTATCACTATTGCCGGTAGATTGCCAGGCTACTGAATAATGTAAGAACTAAGAAGTAACCGCATACATCAAAGTGAAAGCACACACAAAGTTTCAAAATGTTTTTACGCGAACTGGGATTCCGTTTAAAACAAAAAAAGTGAACTGTTAACTGCGATCGCAAACGAATGTATAGACATAATTTGTATAGCAGAATAACTCCCTAAAAATCACGGCGGGAAAATACAAACTGTTGAATTTCAGTTGCAAGGTTTTGATTGTTTTCTGAACTTACATGAAGAGCAGTGCAGTAGAGGTGTAGCTCTGGGGGTTAGAACTCATTATGGGGCCCAGCAAGTTCAGTTCAGTTATCTGTAGAGCAACAATAAGCTAGAGAATCAGTGTGGTGCGAACTTTCTCTTGGAGGCATGTATAGCCTCCTCATTGGCGTCGTGTATAGATCAAACAGTTCCTCTGATAATGGTAAAGTACTAAACAGCCTTTTACCGAGCATGACTTTCAGCCGATCGCAAACGTTGATCGCTGGTGACTTTAACCATCCAGAAATAGACTGGGCAGGTGAATCCTATATTGGAATCGCCAAGCATCCCTATTCTTGGAATCGCCAAGCATCCCTATTCTTGGAGTCTGTGCGAGCCTCGGAGTGTTCAATGCTAAATGAGCTTCGTCACGAGGCTCCGTTGGGCATAAGCCATCAATCATTATTTTTCAGTGTTAACTGCTGTACAGCAAAGACGGTTTGGAAGTGTGAACGTTTGAATTTGGCGAAAGGCGATTGTGTTAAATTCCGTGATGCAGTGAGTGCGGCGAATATTTTTTCGGATAATATGGCTGATTTCATGGTCATTTCTCAGGAGCACGGTTATGTCTGCAGGTGATGCTTGTCAGCTTGCGTACCTAAGATTAAGCTCGGTGGTGTCAAAAAGTCCGAGTGGATGATTAGTACAATTATGGCCAAGCTAAAGACCAAGAAAGAAGCCTACAAGCGTTATTTACGAACTCGCAGCGTTGCTGATTATAACCTGTATGCAAGAGCTCGAAACTAAGCTAAAAGAATCTGTCGCACTGCAGAGATAAACTCTGAAAAAAGTATTGCCAAAAATGAACCCCAAAGCCTGCTTTTTAGAGCATTTTCTCATTTATGGAAAAAATGCACTATTGTTTGTAAGCTAGTTTTGCGTGTAAGACAAACGACTTTATTTCTGATTTGAAAGTAGATCAACGAAAGATATCCTCTGATGAGGGCATGGCTAACGTTCTTTGTTAACGTTCTTAATCAGCTGTGTGTTCACAGGCGAGGACTTGAACAGCAGTCCAGCTATTGAGGAGAGCCCAATAGGCTCGCAGTTAACGGGTTTTGAAATGCACGGAGAATTAGTTCTCAAGCGCCTGGTCGCTCTGAATCCCAACAACTGACGGCTTTCACCCTAGATTACCCAAATAATTGGCAACCGTCCCGGTCGGCCCTTAAACAGTGTTCTTTCGAAAAACCTTGACCCAGGGACTTAGCCGGCTGATTAGAAAGAAGCTCAAGTGACACCATTGTTCAAAAAAGGTGACTTGAGTAGCCTCGGTAATTATCGCCGTCTGTCTGACAAGTGTTGTTTGTAAGGTAATCTGTTGTGAGGGATAGGATTACTGTATCGATCACTTGACTGTTAACCATCTCCTATGACTGTCAACATGGCTTTATTGCCGTAGATTCTGCACCACTAACCTCTTGTCTACGTTGAACGATCGGACTCGCCTGCTGGACGAAAAGGAGCCAGTGGATTCAGTGTACCTCGATTTTGCTAAAGCATTTGACAGTGTTCCGCATGAGCGGCTGTTACGTGAAGTGAAGTGTTTTGGAATAGAGGGAAATGGACTCCAATGGATCAGAGATTTTCTAGTCTCTAGACTTCAACGTGTCAGTATTAACGGAACCGTATCAGACGGGCAACAGTTCGCAGTTGGTTGCCACAAGGAAGCGTTCTTGGGCCTGTTTTGTTTGATGCTTTTTTAAACGATCAGCCAGAAGTAGTGTCGAGCGTATGCTTCACGTTTGCCGATGACACGGAAGTTTATAATACAGTTATGAATGCGTTAATTGAAGTGCAATTGCAAGATGAACTTGACAACACAGTTTAGTTAACTGGGTTGATACGTGGCAGCTGCGTTTTAATGCTGAAAAGTACTCCACCTTGGTTAGAACAACGAACAGCTAGATTACAAGAAGAAGACATGGTTGCAACGCGAGAGTAATGATTAAAAAGTCTAGCGTGGAAAAATTTAACACAGAAATGCAGTAGAGCGTTCGAAGTCGTGCAGCAAGGATAATTCCAGTGTTGAAAGGCCATTCTTACGATGAAAGACTCAAGATTATAAAGCTTCCAAGCCTCTTATATTGACGTCTGCATGGGGACCTTATTGAAGTATACAAGTATACTATGGTTATTACAAGGTTCAAGAATCACAAGAATTTGAAACAAGAATCACCAGAGGCCACAGCTATAACTAAACAAAACTGCGCTGCAGCTCATCCACGCGACAACACTTCTCGCTTCGAATCACCGACATGTAGAACAGCCTCCCCGACTACATTGTTAACGCTCCGAGTATGACCGCGTTCAAAAACAACTTGATAAGGCTATGGAGAATATGCTCCGACTTGAAATGACTAACGCCATACCGAACCAGGTGGAAGTCTAGTAGTGTATTTCTTTCAATCTACAGTCCGCTTTTGAAAAGATCTGGTCAAAGGAGCAGTTCTTAGATCTCCTGTGGACAAGTCACTAAAGTACAAGAATCGGCGCCAGGCCACACCAGGCCTTTTCTTCAGCGCTGACATTATTACATATGATGGGTAATACTTTGATACTAGTACATGCATTTTGGGTTGGGAATGGAATCCACAGCTTCATACCGAGACAAAACTTATACAACTCATTTCTTAAAATTGTTCTTTCAGTAATAGGTCGTTACGTAGTTTCACTTGCAAAATTATTAGAATTCACTCCTAGCATACCTTAAGACGAATGGGATTTAGATTAGAATGGGAATAAGACAAAAACGGAAGAGAAAAAGTAAAAATTAGCAGGATACGTATCCTAGGTGAACCAAGCCTGTTAGTTTATCTTGCAACCATCAAAAGAATGACAGCCATTATTTTAATAGTTTCGCTTCAACATCTTAAAATTCAAACATAATCAACAAATTAACAGCCAGGATCTGCCCCTTTCACACCTATGCAGCACATGGTTTCAATATTTACATCCGATGAGGTTGCAACATTGGAATTTAGGATGTGAATGAAACTGGATGAAGCATAATTAGCAATTGGTTTATTTAACTAATTTTCAGTAGACAAATTATGAGCGCTGGGAGATAGTCACGCGTCTTTGTTTCGCCTTTAGTCATTCGGATCTCGTGGCCTATTTATGTACAAATAAACAAATTACAGTACCAGGTATGAGTGCACACGAGCTATAATATAATCAACGTCGAAAAATACTGAATGGATTAGAAGTCACGCGTCAATGTTATTATTGTTCTGTTAAAGTACAAGTGCGAGCTTTACACCTAGACCACGATGAGCAAAGTAAGAAATATTGTTCAAGATAAACCACAGAAAAACAGAATGCCGACAACACTTGCTTCTCGCTATTAGCTGACGAAACAAAAACGAGCAACTTGCCTGAACATATTTTTATCTAGAACAGTGAAACCAAAGGCACAAAGAAATATCGATCCATTAACACCATTTGATGGGTACCAATAGGATTCAATATAAATTTGAATAAATCGTAATTGCCCTGCAATTTTCGATTATGAATGGCATTTCAAAAATTATTATCAAAGCAGATACCGTACAAGGGAAGTCATGGTATTTGATGGAGACAAATTGTTGTTATAAACAAATATTCCAATGAAGCGCAAATGTTAGATCAGACACTACTGGGGCACTCGCGACAAGAAATCAATTGGAAAAGCTAACATTAGATCAAATCGCTGCAGCCTCTGGCATCTGACCAAGATCGTTACTCAAGCACTGCCCGATCGTGCTGGAATTAACACTAATTTAGCAGTGATAAAAATGACTGACGCGTATCGTTATTGCTCTAAAGATCAATCTTGAGAACGAAACCACTTTACAGTAGCTTTCTTTCAAACAAGTCAAATTAAACGATCTTTTCGTAACATAAGGCAAAAATAAAAATTGAAACAGTAACGATCCTAGTCAGCAAGCCAAATAGAACTGCCGGTAAAATAGCTAGGTCTGCAAAAACTAGTCCTCCTTGGCAGCTGCAGCAGGAACTTCAGCAACAGCAGCATCGGAGTCATCGCTTTTTGCTTGTAACTTGTCGCTCTTCTTGGGTGAATCGCAAGAGCTGTCATCCTTTTCAGGCGAACTGTCGCTCTGCGCGGCAGTTGACGAGGATTTTTTTGCTGTCTTCTTATTGGCCTTTTTGGTCTTAGGTTTATCTTGTTTGCTTTTCCCACCTTCGTCATCATCGTCCTCATCTTCGTCGTCAGCTTCTTCGCCTTTCTCGACCTTCTTGGCAGCCACTGAGAATATTAAAATGTCAACCAATTAGACTTAGCTATTTGACGAGACGATAGAGCTTAGTTATAATACTTGCGTAATGAAGGTCCAAGCGAATTATACATTGCTTGGCAATAAACCAACTGGAAGATACAAGCACAACATCAGTCAATTATAAATACGTCTACAGAAAAATCTAACAGGGTTGAATGATGAGCAATTAGCTAGATGCGTAACCAAGCAGAAACTGCAACTTGAATTATATTAATTTCCACTTAAAGAAGGAAAAACATTATGCATAATTAACAATTAAGTACTTAACAAATGCGTGAACAATAAAAAAATTAATGTAATTCTTTTAATTTACATACCATTGTCAGTCTTGCTTGCGGCTTCGAAGTCTTCTACAAGATCAGGCACATCTTCATCATCAATGGCAGCACCCATGCCTGCAAACCATGGGTGAGGAGTGAGAAACAAATATTCTGCTGCCGTTCGATAATAGTATCGCAATAATACGGATAAAAAACAGCAAGACTGGCAAATCCCAATGAAAGGGTATAACTATCAATAGGTACTAGTGAAGACACGAATGAACTAAGAACTATCATTCACATCTGAGGAAGAGCCATGAGACGGTTTCAGAATCGAAAGATGTTAAAAAATAAATAAAAATGAAGATCGGCAATGTTTTGAACCTTACTGTTTCAGTTTGTTGCAATAACTTGAAAACAAAGAAGTTGAATAAAAATAAACAGGATCTTATTTATACTCAGGAGGCAAAAATCAAACAACTATGTTTTGTGGGATAGCTTCATCTTTCATCACAGCCTGAATGTCAGATACATTTTGCATAACAGGATGCAGGCATGGTCATCCCTCGAAGGATGGATCCACAATAGATCTCATTTTAACCCTCGATCACTTCTCTTTGAATCCATTGTAAGTGACGTTGATGATGTGGGCCAACTTTTTTTGGGTAAATTACCTCTTAATTTCTTATATTAACTACTAATATTATTGCTTGATCAAGATCTACTGTCGATCCGTGCATGATCCATGCTTTGAGGCACGAGTAGTGTCAGAAGTATTTGCTTGCCTTACATCAAGTACTAAATGGTTTAATTTGACATCATTTACATTGCCAAATTATGGGAATTAAATACTTGTATTGCGACGTATTATAAATAGGAACAGTAGCATAAAATCTTCGTGATATAGAAATAACCCCTGGACTACCATTGTATACCTACCTTCTTTAATTTCGGTGATGAACAGAGTGGCGCACTAGAAACAAATATCAACACAGCTGAGTATCAGAAATCATTATTAGCACAAGATGTAGTTAAATGTCATGGTTATATTCTTTACCTAACATATGCCCAATATTCAAATTATAAACTAACCTTGCGCCATGCTGGAGGCGTGGCGCTTGATATGACTGAAGCCTTCAGCACCAAGGTGGTTGAGGATGCCAGGAAGAAGTTCTGTGAAGTGCTTGTCCTCAGAGTGGCCAGTGATGGCAAATGTGTTGGCTCCAAGTGAGGCTTGCACGGTGGGATTGTTGAAATTGATCACGCGCCCATCGTCCTTAATCATGTTCACCTGCCAAATACGTTGCGCAATTATAAATCAACTTTACCTTCCAAAAAGAATGTTTTTATCTATTCCACCAGTTTGAAGTGTGTTCGCAGTGTATCTTTGAAACCAATTGAATAATTCTGTCATTTCTAGCATGTGCATATTCATATCAGAGCATTTTTTTATTCTAGTGTTTTGAATAATGAGAATTTACAATAAATTTCCATCAAGTTTTGTAGAAGCAGTGTTCTCAGGAAAATATTTACTTAAATACAAATCTAGGTTAATACTATGTCATGTAAGTTGAATAACATGCATTACTAGTATGAATTACAACAGAGGAATTACAATAGGAAGGAGCCTTTCTCACTAGTAAACAAACCATTAATAAAAGTGTTGTCTAAAATTGCCCTCAATTGTTAAATACAGAAGCTTGCAAGGTATGAGCCAACATTATGACCTGATATTGTGCATAAATGTAATTATTCCACAAGTTGTGGAATAATTACATTTATGCACACCACAACTCACCTCTTCAATACCAGAAATGCTATTAACAGATAATTTTTTAAGATGACTTTGGATCTTTTTGTCATCAGTTGTGGTAACTTTACGCACAATCTTCTTCTTCCTCCTGGCGGATCCCTTGCCGCCAATGCGCACCTGCGACTGTAGCTTGGATAATTTCTCGGCATTCATTGTGCTGTAAAAAAAAATATCAAGATCATTAAAACAAAGCATTCTTATTCATTCATCTTGATACTATACCTATGTATACTACAACTATATTAATAAACAATGAAAGTGATCACATAAAAAAATTTTTCTTGCTAGTAAATATGACATTTGTGACTGCTGATTCTTTTAAAGAATTAAGAATCTACAATCAGAAGAAATTATGAGAAATCTGTTTTTTTATTCAATCATGATAGTCTAAAAATATAATGATAAACTTTATCTTCTAAATATGACTACACTACAGCGCTCCAGCACCCAAATTTCCGTAACAATTAGCACTCCTGCAAGGCCCTCAAATGACACCCCCCCCCAGCTTCAAGTGTGGCGCGCTCAGATTGTCCTGCTGCACCTAAATGACCAACCACTTCCTGGAATTCCACCATGTGTACCACCATGCTGGTATCCATGATACATTACTGGTCACCAGTTAAGTATCATGGATACCAGCATTATTGTACCTAATAAATTGGTTTCAATCTTGAGTAAAGGAGGAAATTCCAAATTAACTCATTCTAAAAAATCTGTGGTTCGATGTTTTTCACAGTCACCCACTGACACCCAGAGTTCCATACATCCACTTTCTGCACCCTGAAATCATAGACGATTTTAAAAAAATGCAAGTGATGGAAGTTAGGTGTAGATGAAGCCCATTATTCTGTCCAGACCATGGTTTAACCCTTTTGGGGGTAAGTTACCATACATGGCAATTAAAATGGAAGTAAAATAGGGGCCCCCACGCCACCCACATCGCTTTGGGCAGCCCACCAACAAGCTCAAACCAATCACAGATTGTGTATGAGTTACTGCATGTATGACAAAGTGCTCTTGAGTCTTGACACACTCGTGTGTCTGTGGGAGCTGACTTATAAACTAAGTACCCTGGAGAAATTGCAAAAACAGCATTTTGGGCCCTCGTCATATTCACTTTAGCAGATCTAGCCCAACCCAAGAAGAACTGTAGGCAAGTTGATGATAGTTGCAAGTATTTTAGTTAAAAACTTGTTTTATCAACTGATTAGGATGCCATTTACCTGATACAAATGCAAGATGGTGAAATAAGATTTCAAAAAATAGTGTGATCATATATGTGCATACACCTGCCAATGCTAAGAGATAGACATGACTATGTTTGGACATATGCCCACTAGAGGTAAATTTTTACAGTGATAGGTAAATATGTTCGTTAGCCCTACTATGATTTAAGTCATGTTTTTCAGTCTAAGGTACCTATAGTTCACCACTTGATACTTTCCCAGGCCTTGACTGCAGTCCAAGCTCTTGGCATTTCCTTTGCTACAGAACATAGAGCCAACATGGTTACAAGCAAGATTGTCTCTGCACTGACCCAGTCAATAACATGTCCTTCACCAATCAATTCTTGCCAATAATTTTTCACCAATCAATTCTTGCCAATAATTTTTTCACAAGTTTTATTTATATGTGGTCCATGAATGCAACTCATTACATGCAGCATGGATGTCTCATTATATGGATGGTCTGGAAATCTTGCCATAAAATACTAATTTTGTTCATCTTGATTGCTTTCCCTGTACCTCTGTGTTATAATACAAGCAGAAAAGAGCAATCAAGTTGCTATTTACCATCTAAATAGTAAACTCTCAATGTCAAAATTAGCAAATTTTTCTTTACCTTATGCTGGCAAGGCCCATATATGATCACTTCATTAATTGTGATTTACTACTTACAGCAATCCCGTGATTAACGCGGTTAATAAATCCCCGAGTTTTACCGTGTTAAGCAAAACCGCGCTAATCAAACTTAAGAATACAGCAATCCCTTGATTAACGCGGTTAATAAATCCCCGAGTTTTACCGTGTTAAGCAAAACCGCGCTAATCAAACTTAAGAATATATGGGAATAATTATAATGAATCCTCACAAATAGCAAAGTTACATAATAATTTTTTTTTTCACTAAAATTCATCATATTTTTTTCTAAATAATAGGGGAAATATATAAAAGAAATGCAAATGAATTAACATTTATTTTTTACTGAAAAACGAATCCAATTTCAATTGCACAGTAGATTTCTTTCTCTCCTGCATAATTGCGCGATAGCAATTCACTTGCCTATCCAGGCCACGGCAAACATTCATGCTTCTTTCTTCATTTGGGTCTACTTCTCTTATGATTTCTTAAGTTTTTTCAATTGCAGTGAGTAATTCTGCAAGTTTTTTACTAGAAATTTTACTAGATATGGCAGCGATCTTGACCAGTTGAAGGCTAACAAGTAACTAGAGCACTGGCATGGCACACTTACCTGCGAACGTTGCCGAACTCGACCATTTGAGTTATGAACGAGACAAGGCGCGGTTAAACCGACTCTGTAGTCAGCACGAGTGCCTACGGAACGGGACCTTATTTAAAGAATTATTGGCTGAAATTCATAAAGTAACAACATTTGGCGAATTTTTCCAAAAGTCGTAACAAAAGAAACAACATAAGATCTAATAAGCAAAAAGTAACACTTTTGTTACGAACGTAACACCTCTGGCTAGAGGCGGGAAAATGATGCGTTGTGAAAAAAAGTCGCACTAATCAAAACTGGCACTGCATAGATTAAGGGTAGGTTGCAAATTTTTTTTCCGCGTTAATCAAAACCGCGGTATTCAAAACCGTGCTAATCAAGGGATTGCTGTATATACATTTTTTTATTCCTACTATGGTAGTAGATATATCTTAGTATTGGTTATACTTTCAAGTACTATCATCAAATATTGCAATATTAACATATTTCTATGTCTGCCTGGGAAAGGGTTAATTGTAGGACATGGTTGGTCATCTATAAACACCAGGATGGCCAGGAGTGCTCCAGCGCTGCGCGCTTCAGAAGCTCGGGGGAACGGGGTGGTGGTGCAATTTGAGGAGGTCCTGCTTGAGTGCTACTGTAATGCACTTGGCCAGGCCATCCTGCTCCTATTGAAGTGGGGCGAGTGCACTGCCGCTGCTTAGTGCAGAATTCTAGAGGGGTATTTTCTAAGGATACAGTGCTTTTCTAGGGGCTTTCCAGATACAGTGCTTTCCTACATCAAAGCTTTCAGCCTTGGGTGGAAATATTTTTCATAAATGAACTTCCCTTCCTAGAATTCCACACTGCTGCTTCTGCCAGCCTGCTCGTTTTGAAGCTAGTGCTCATCCCAGTCCCACTCTTATTGGAGTGGAATGAGCGCGCTGCGCTGCTGCTGTCCCACTTGTCTTTGGAGTGCTTGGCCAGCCCACTACCACTGGGAGAAGTGCTCCTCAATTAAATAGGTACATAGACATTTACGACACATTTAGAATGACACTATGGTCCATACTCCATGGACCATAGTGGCAAACCAGTGATTTTATTAGAATCAGTTCATTTGTTAAGCAGGACCATGGGCCATAGTGGCAAACCAGTGATTTTTTAGCAGTCAACTTTTTATTTCCTCATTTACTCAAGAATCAAACCAACATCTTGCGTATGATGATGCTGGTATCCATGATACTTTGCTGGTCTACTCTAGACTCCTGCGTCATGGAATAATTTTCGTGAAATCAACTAGGACAAATGGGATGAGACAAGAAATTGAGGGATAGAAAGTAAAATATGTCCCAGAATAAATGTATGAACTGGGACAAGACTTGTGTCTTAGACTTTAAAACTTGTGTCCCAACAATTAAAAAACAATACCAGACAGGTAGAAATGGAAGGGAAATTAACTTAACAATATGAGACATATCTTGAATATGTGAGACAAAACAGGACATTTTAGGCAAGCAGATTAAGGACTAACAAGTTAGCTTTTGATTGTTGATGAGCAGTTGTCAATCATATGCAGTTGTGGCATTGTTTGGCTGCCAAAATAATTGGGCAGTTAAATTAGTGGGCAGATTTGGCAATGTATGACTGAATATTGAGTGAATGATGTCAATGTCTAGCCTTTAACCTCACCTTACGCAAGAATTGTACAAGTTCAGCGTTTGCTCCATACAAGTTCAGGTGTGCATTGCTGAGTTATTGACATTATCTATTAGTTAGACAGTTAAATAACTGCGAAATGGCTCTCATTTCTCTGTTGTGCAAGATGCCACGAGTCAAAGGCAATAATTGGAAATTTTGTAGGCCATTTTTGGAAAATATGCATATTTTCATTATAATTTCTATTTTCCTTGTTATGTGGAAGTGCCATGTTAAATTATGATATGTAGCAAAAACAATCTTAATTGCCAAGCCCATAGTCGGAATTGTCAATTAATATGTCTCAAGTTATTGTTCATGTCTGTAAACTAAAAAAAGTCTACATCCCAGCATTAAGTGGTTTTTACTTCACCTTATGTCTTGTTTTAAGGGGAGCGTCTTGAGCAAAATTTATCTTGGTTATTTACAAACAGATCACTTTGAAACTAGGTGCACATATGTAAAACCAAATCCTTTAGGACATTTTTGTTCCTGTAAATTAAAAAAAAAATGTAAAATTCTTAGAAAACAGCCAAAGGGGGTACTGTAGTAATCTATCTCTTCCTAGGATTTTCAAGCTACAACATCGAGACTCCTATCATTAGATGTGTAAGGACCATATCTATTGATTCATTATAGCTTTTTTTAAATTCAAATTTTTGTGGGTGGGGAAGCATTTTTCATAAACTTTTAGACAATTTTTCGATTCCCCCCTTTTTCAAAATATTTTCAACTATAACAAAATTGAAAAAAGCTACAACCAATCTCTAGATCTCTTATTTGCAAATTGAATGGTATATCTCTCATTGCTGTGCCTAAAAAATTATAAAGGAGATAGGTTTGCAGTGATAATAAGCGTGAATGTTCAGTAGAGCGCAACAATGGCATGCACGCCTCAAAATAGGCATTCAAGACTGCAAGACTTGATAATACTAGAGCCAGGGTGCAGAAAGTGGGTTAATATCACAAGATCTTTGGCAATGCATCAGCAGCAAAATTTACACCTTCAGAAGATCTTGCCAAAACATTTGAATTGAAATTATTGCATTTTAGATATTCGCGAGCCTTCGGCCAACTTTTTAGAAAATAGTTGAAAATCTGAAAGACTGCAAGCGCACACAGTAAGGTTCCGGTACATTGGATGGATAAGGATGCAGTGAAGCTTGTCTGGAAATCAGTTGGGATGAGTGTAAGTGTTGCAGTGTGTGGAGAGTAAGGGATATACTATTAAAGTTGTTAGCAGCATTTTCTTATTAAAAATTACTCGGCAATGCAACTTGGAAATGGCTGGCGACATTTTGGGCTGAAAATCCATGTCTTGGCAACGCAGCTTGCAAACTCTGCACCCTGGTACTGGTACTGGAGCTCAATTTCTGTCAAAGATGGTGCTAACAACTGCATGAGAACCATCCTGTGCAACTGCAGCTGGGTAACTAAAGCAGAGCATTTTCAGACAGGCTATTTAAGTGCACTGCTGACAGATTTCAGATGAGACTAAAAACCAGAAAAGCCAAAATTGAAAATTGTACTCAAGACACTCCCCTTATAAGATATAAATTCCAATAAATTTTAAACCTATTTCAACCAGGACGTCTTATGGTAGGGTAAACGCACCATATTCCAACATAGTGGGTAATTCCAACACTTCTCAACTTTTTCCTTTATATTAAGCTTTGTCTTAGTTCCACGCATTGGTTGATGGTTGAAATAGTGATGTCATACTATTGCTCACCAAACTATTGCCAAACACTAGGTCTGGGCCATCTGGCAGGAAAATGTTAAGATCCTCAGAGAGACACTGCACGTCACCCAATGAGAACATCGAAAAACATGTCAAAGTTGATAGTTGCCCTTGCTCTATCAAAAAGTGATAAAGCTTCAAGTATACTTTAAGTATACTTGAAGTGGTAAATAAATTAATAGATGATTAAGTAAAGCAACAGTTTTAGACACATAAAAAACTAATTCTGACATAGCTTGGAATTAGACACACACAGCTTGTTCCAAGCTGTGTCCAAAAATTAAAATTTTCCTAATTAAAAGCTTGATAGCTCTTAATTGAAAGCTTAATTAAAAAATTAAAATTTTTTAATGAAGCTCATCCAGAGCTATGTTGTAGGGTAAACGCGGTATATTCCGACACATTAAGGACGCATCGAGAAATGAAAAACTATAAAAAAATAACCGTGTGCGTTTCTTGAGTTCCGTTTGCTTTACGTGACTCTCAAAACACCTCACTATGTGCCAGCAACAATGAAACATCACAAAATGTTGCCATATTTATTTAAAAGCCTTTAGAATGCAAACCTACCAAATCCCTATATTCCGACACTGTGTGTGCCTATATTCGGCACGTGGTGAGACGTATTCCAACCGCGCTTCAAATTGTACTAATACGTAATTCCGACATCCATGGGTTTGAATTCCGCTGTGTGAGCTGTGAATTCACACATGAACTTGAATTGCTGTGTGAGCTGTATTGGAATACGACACAGCTTTGAATTAGAACACTATTGAATATTGAGCACTACTTAATTCGGCTTTTATTTAACAGTTATTAAGCTTTTAATTGAGAAAATTTTAATTTTTGCACACAGCATGGAATGAGCTGTGTGAGTCCAATTCAAGTTGTGTCGGAATTAGTTTTTATGTGTCTAAATCTGTTTCTCAACTTAATCATCTTTTAATTTATTTACCACTTGAAATCAGCAAATACAAGTATTTAGATATGCAAACTTTTTAAATCTTTCTATTGTGTTATGTAGCCTCAGTATTAGGCCTTCAATGCCCATTGACAAAATTTTTCTATGTCAAATAGTTTTTGAGTTGTGGGGATTTTTGTAAAAAAAACAAAAAGTGGTCTAAGTTACCCCGCCGGTCTAAGTTACCCCATTTTACGGTAGTTAACTTGATTAGTCGTTGGCGACACGGGATTGGATTTCAAACCACGCGTGATTTCGGAAGCAGAGCAGTTTCTTATGAGCTCAGTTCATCAATTTTCATTGCAGTGGAAGGTGGTGTAAGCAGGTGGAAGGGTTGGTATTTTGTATAGTGACCAACCAGAGATTTTTTAGAATCAGTTCATTTTTAATTTCCTCATTTACTCAAGATTTTAAGCAATTTCTTAAGTATGATAATGCTGGACAGTCTGGTATCCATGATACTTTCCTTATCTACTTATAGGACTCAAAAATGAACTTGAGACAGAGTCTAAAAAACTCTCTGCTTTGCCACTATGGTATTTTGATACGTTTTCTTATATTGACAAGAGAATATATTACCTATACAGAATTCCACACTGGCCGACAAATCATTGTCTCACCTTGTCTTGAATGGAAAAAATACAGAAGTCTAATCTGCTAGTTATAGGTCATAAAATTGAACTTGAAGGAGAGTCTAAAAAACTCTCTGCTTTCCACTATGCACATGGATCATACTAGGCTACCTAGTACCTACTCATAATGCTCATTCTCATAGGCACAAGCAATCACAGTCAGTGTTTCACAGACCAGAGTGCTTATAATGTGTTTATGGAAGAATTTCCACTCGCTTCAGGATTGTGATGTAGGTAATGGATCAAAACATTTTAAACTTAAACAATATGTACCCAGAATTTTGAAAAATGGGATAAACAAATAAATGGGTCCCAAGCAAAATGCAAATTAGTATGTAGCAGTAGCTAACCTTAGCTGGTTTATAATTATCCATTTGAAATTTTGAATTTCCCACTTGGGAAAATGTGCTCTTGGTGCTTCTTATGCGCTAAAGCAACGTTGCAAACTTGCGGCTCTCGACAACGAACTACCTAATAGGTACCTACAGGCTACAGCTACAAGGCTACACATAACACACCGCATAGTCGCATACCTACTAGCCAAATGCCAATCTTACTATCCTAAATTTATAACGCTATAATGAATGCTTTCATAAATAAGGTTGCCTACAAAGAGAAATATAACATCAAATGCTGTGAAAGCAAAATCCACAATTTTGAAACCGATGAAATGGCTGAACATCGCCGTAAGATTTTTAATTTCACGTTTTGCTTACCATACCATGTTGATCGAATGGCGACCGATTATCAACTAGGAGTTCGGCATTGTCGGCTAAGGTTACCACGTGACAAACATGCTACCTCAATTGAAGCATCCCAGACAAAAACTGCTCATTAGTAAAAAAAAATCTATTCACTTTACATACAAACCACTTCAAGAAGCGTGGCACCAACTTGATTTCTCCTTAAAATTAACATGAAATGTCGTAATTTTAGTTACCTTAATAAAACTAAATGGGCGGCAACAAACACCGAAATACATGCGAAGTGAGCACATAAGATAGATGACTACAAACTATAGAGGTTTGAACTAATGAAAAAACGATAATATTGTTGGGGGTTTACGGTACATTATTGCATAGTGCATTCTACCAATCCTATGTTTAGTTTGTAAACTCGAAGAATTGCTGATTATACATCCACTACACATGAAAGATTCATTAGATTCATTCAGTTTATATCACTTCCCAGACCATAAATTGAAATTATTTAAAGAATATTTCAGCTGAATAATACACTTCATTGTAGATAAAGTAATTTCACCAAATATATAATGAGCGTATTTGAGACTACAAATTTCATATAACAGATGAGCTGACAGAAGCATAACGATAATTCCAATTTTGTGGCATGCAAATCGATTTGGAGAATATATAGACAATCCAAGCCTTTCAATGTAGGTAGCCCAGTTTAAATTATGGTCGCATCAACTGTTCGACACTTTTGCGATTAACTACTCCGACACATTCACGTCCGGTCATCAATTCAGTATGCCTAAAATATCTTCCAAATTGATGAACGCGCTCGATGAAACTTTGCACACATTCAATAAGACCACGATCTGTGAGCCTTATATATCTTGTATTCTACTATTCATATATGAAAAAAACATTGAACATCTATTTCCAACCACCTAACAGTGATGTTTATGGCGTGAACAATTTGTCGATTTTTCCTTTGTTCGCTAGTTTTTTTTTTTTTGGCTATACGGAAAAACGACCGGCATTTCTGTGTCCTATTGTTAAATTTGCATAGCCAAAAATATGCCCAAAAATAATCAGAGTAATTCGATGGATATTTGCATATGTGTTCAATAAAACCAAAAAGTGCTGATTAAGACGTGATCATTTATCCGATTTCGCTTTCGTTTCCCAGTTATGCGGTAAGTTTCGTTCAAATCTGTTCAATTGAATAAAAGAAAAATTAGGATCACTGCGAAATTTAGACCGTATCAGAATATAACTCGAAAAAGAATGTGAAAAAGCAAAAAAATACGACCTAACCTTCACTATACGGTTCTATTGAACATGTGTGCAAAGTTTCATCGAGTTGAGTGTATTAGTTTGAGAGCTGTTTTAGGCAAACGAAACTGGGAGACCAGCCGAGAGACCGGCCGTAAAAGTGTCTAAATGGTCGAGCTGTGTCAGAATTCTTTTTATTTTGTCCGCTTCGTACTAAATTAGCACGCTAAACGCCATATTCTAACACGCTTTAACCGTAAAAATTTTCAAACGAAATCGTTCTTGACTTAAATAATTACGAAGCTATTTATTCACAATACACTACTCCTAGCGTTGTCAGAATTTTTAACGCCTCTTGGATCTTTTTGACCGGTCTTGCGGCCAGTCCCCAAGATTAAGTGACCATAAAATGGTCGGCAAACAACGAACTAATAAACGCATCTCGATTAAACTTTGAATTGTATTGTAAATAAATAACTCCTTTGATAATTCGATAAAGATGGGTTTAGGTTAGAAAAACTTATGTTTGGACGAAGACCTAGAATATGGGGTTTAGCACGATTGTTAAAAACTAAAGCTGACAAGAAAATACTGACGAAGCTCGCAGGAGCGTATTGTAAATAAACGCCTTGATTTAATTTGGTCATGATCCGTTTAACTTGACAAATAAATGCGCGATGAAAAATTCGTCCCAAAATTCGTTTCATAATTCATCCTAGATGCGTCGGAGTTGTTACAGGTGGCAGGTGTATTTTTAAACAAGTCGTTCGATTATTTAAGCAGAAACCAATAATTCGTGACCAGTATTATAGACAAAAATTATTAAAATATCACTGAGGATGGAAAATTTTCCTCCGAAAAAACTCGGGACGAAATTTCTATGCATTTGTGTATAAAAGCTGCATCAACTTTGACCCCGTGCAAATGAATGGTCGAGAGAAAAAGCATTTCCATCAAACCTTAATGTAATATGTAAACATGGTAGATTGGTAGTATCCTGGTAATAATTGTTACTTAATTATTACCAAAATTTTAATTTATCCCCTTCGTAGATTCTAAACTCTAAAGGAAAGTGACAAAAAAAATTTCAAGCCATGCTTGCGCACGGTTTTTCTCTCTGTCTTAGTATAGTGAGAAGTTACTAGGGGATACCTGGGGAATCAATAAGTTACTATAGGGGACACCTGGGGAATCAATAAGGTACTAGGGGACACCTGGGGAATCAATAAGTTACTAGGGGACACCTGGGGAATCAATAAGTTACTAGGGGACACCTGGGGAATCAATAAGTTACTTGGGGACACCCCTGGGAATCAATAAGTTACTAGGGGACACCTGGGGAATCAATAAGACAAGGGGCAAGGGAGCGGTAACGCAGGTGCTCGATCGAGAGCTAGAGAGGGAGCGAGGGAGAGAGATGATGCTACCTTTTAGCCAGCTTGCTGATGTTTAAAATCGAATATCGAGCAGTTTACAATGCTGTTACCTTTCTAACTACTTGCAAAATTTCGGAGTAATGTTATTTTTTACTGAAGGACGAAGATCTCGTCAAGTTTCAGGAGCAAAAAGAGGGATGTTTTATTTCAGAAGAGGTATACGTTTTATTAAGATGAATCTTCGACCCCGAGAATAGACGTGTTCCCCACGGAAGTCTCTTACATTAAATAAGTACATGCAACTATCGGTTGCCTGACTGGTCATACTGCAGTCTTTAACCAGGTATAATTTGAATTAAATATGAAACTCCTGGTCCACAGTGAATAGACTTGCTGGGGGCATGAACACAAAAAGCCATGAGATCTGGAATGACTATTCGCACTGCCAATTTTTTTCAGTGAGTTCGCATACAATTGGGCGGATAGGTTGAACTCCGAAAGACAAACTTGAGTTGAACCGAGAGCGAATCGAAGAATGAATCTGCGAAGAGAGCGTGTTGGGCATTGAGTGAGGCGGTGAGTACGTCAGTTCGCTGCAGCAAGTATTGATCACCGCGTCCTGCGCACTGGAGTATCCAGAGAGTCGGAGCTTGAGTCGGCCAGGTATGGAGATGAAGGCGGTGCAAATGGTAGCAGACGTCTGGCGATCGTGATATATCTCGTAAAACACGATGTTTTCGTTATAAACATCGCTCTTTGTGGTCTTTATCGACGAGCAAGCGAAGTTCGTGTGTGTGGTCGTTCATTCGTGGTCGATAGAAAGTGTTGTTCGATGAATGCATACAAGTACCCAGAGCTGCAGAGCTATCCTACTGATATGAGATCAGCCGAATAGGAATTATAGGGTCATAAGTTTGTGTGTTCAGCTGAAGGCTGGGTCCAAGTGGACCCTATCCAGACCTTCGCGATTGTTTGGGCTGTGATAACAGACATGTCAACGCCCGGGGGAGCTGGTGGATCGTCATCCACCAGCTACGTTGTACCCGCTGGGCTACAGGAGCTCCTTATTGAATTCACGGTGTCTGTGCTCGTAGAACAGCCGCCTGACCTCACCAGCTATGCGGCTGAATACTTCGGACGACTTGCAGAGGAGCGAGCTGGCGAAGCGCCGCACCAGCGGTCCGATGACGAATCTATGGCCACAGACGACGACGAACCCATGCCTGGTGAGTACCATATTTCTTAGTGGTGTCTTGTTCTTCAATAATTGTACGGATTTTCTGTGAGTGTCCGATACTGTGGATGCGACCAATTTCACACAAAAATATTTGCAATTTAACAATTAAAGTGGAATCGCTGAATTGCCTTTTTCTCTGGCTAAAACCATTTCTTACTTTTCGGATAGTAACTATTCTAATTTTCTGGAGCTCCCAATTGTGTTTAAGAAACAAACATCCTCAGTTAATCAGGTCTCGTCCATAGAAAAGAGAAGCTGGCTGGAAAGAACGCTAATTAATTGCGTATTGTTTGATGAATGCAGGTACTAATTTGCGGATCGATCCAGTTCCCAACTACTTTCCGCGAATTCCATCTTGCATACTACACTGCGTTCGCATTCATTGCTAGAGAACTTGACTCTCTACGTCGACTGTTCTTAGAAATCCATGAATCATATCGGAAAACATCTATTTCGATTCATTGAGGTGCCTTCATGGAAAATTATTAGATATCAGTTTTCAACATTCAAGTCACGTCGAATAAAATAATAGTTATATGTTTCGAATTGAACAACATGCACAAAATAACGTTAAATTTTACTGCAGAAACTTTCATCCCTCAAAGGATACACGCCTTGATGTTAGGGTCTCTTCATTAGGAATTTATTTCATTTTCTTCAGCTCAAAACCTGCGTGCCAACTCGCATGCCGCCATTCATTAAGAATCGGTATTGCAATTAAATTCCTAATCCCCAAAGTAAATTAAAGCGCCGGGACGTCCAAATATAGCCTAAATTGTATAGACTGAACAAGTCCTTTGGTTGTTATAGCAATTGCGATTAAAAGACATCATGTGGCTCCTGATAACGAACGGTATTAAAGGTCCTTGCTTGTATTCTTACAGTGCAAACAGGAACCCGGATATGAAGTCCTTTCCCCGTGTATTTTCGTTTGTGCCAAATGTATTCTTTTAAAACTAAAATATTTTTTTGAACCGAATGCATTCGACGGCACTAAATATTCTTCCTCGCCAATTTTATTCTTCGACACTAAATTTATTCATTCCTGGGTACCAAATATGCGTATTTGTGTGCACCATATATGTACGGTATATACATATGTAGGATCAAATTTGTTCGTGAGCAGCAAATATATTTTTGAGCAATAGGTTTATACGTGGGTTTCATTTATATTTATGTGCACCATATTTATTCTTGAACATCATATATACTAATGAGCACCAGATATATTCGTAGGCATTACATATATTATATTTATGAACACTAGATTTATTCGTGGCCATCAAATATATTCATGAACACCACATTTATTCGTAGGCATCAAGGGTATTCATGAGCATCGTAAAGGTTTTGAGCCTGGAAGTCTGTTCGTTACTGAATTATTTTGCAGACAATGACTGCATTTTGCATTACAGACTGCATTTTGCATTACAAGCGCGTGCAGTTAAGCTTTGCTTATAGTGAGGATACTTATTGTGTGCCTGAAAAAATATGCAATTTGGTCACAAACCCGGAAGCCATTCGAACGATGCATGCGCTGGCACCGATGTCAACATCTGAGGTGTCAAAAGCTGTTATTTGCTTTAGTTTTATGACCATTTGATAATCGGTTCGTAGCGTTTAAATTCAGCTCGCAGCCACAAACTATTCGTTGATTTATCACTGGACCCATTCAAATCTTTTTTAACAAATAACTGAAGTAAAACGACCGACAGACTGGTGCATTCAAGGAGGTGGAACGACAAATTTAATTGTAAATAATAATATTTACAATTAAATGAAAAAATATAATACAATAATGACAAATTTAATTGTAAAATTGATAACAAATTACTGGTAAAAGCTTGTACAAATTAATATCAAATTAATTTGTAAATTTACCGGCATGGGAAACGAAAATGCAACAATTTAAGAATTGGTTACATTTTATACGACATGAGTTCAGATTTTAATATGCATTATCAACAAAGTGGAATAGCGACCCGGTGAAGGCATTAATTTGCGATACATTGCTATTCAAATGATTATTTCTTTTATTGTCAACTTTATTGCAGGAATTAGGAATTGCAACATTATGCAATTCCTATATAGCGTGAAATAAGGGGTGACGTTTAAGCTGAAATTATCGGCATTTGCCGTAAAAATTCAGCTGTGGTTGATCTAGTATGAATATCGAAATTGTGTATAAAAAACTTTCCAGATGAAGCAACAGAATGAAGCAGCAAAAATTTCTCATAGAGGGTAAATGGCTTACATACACGAAACGTTTGTCATCATGCCATGATCGAAGCCTGATAAACGGTGTACCATGCAAGCATGAGTTAAAAAAGATGATTCTATACACCGATCGACATATGAACCTTTGATTGGCACGAAGTACAAAAAGCATATATAGTCAGATTTACCAACTACTTTTCCAAAGCCATTTTATTATTTCTTCAAATAAATTCTCAGAACCATGGAATTAAAATCCAATATTCTGATTGTCGTTTAACTTGCAATTATTAATATACCGGTGGTCGAACACAATTGTTGGACTCTTCGTAATTAATCAAGATATTCCTCTGCTTCACATGAATATAAATTCTAATCGATTTTTTAGAACATGAGTGATGAATTACTGATCGCGTTACGTGATACGTTATAAATTCAGAGTACGTGACCGCGCACAGTAATTGTCTTCTGGGCTGGATCACGGTGACGTCACGCAGCTGGTCACGCGCGCCCCAGACGCCCGGCGCCATACCCTGGGGCGACCGTTAATATAATATAATATAATATTAGTAATCAAGATAATTATTATATTATTATTTTATTATAATGTATATCAACTTTATTTTTTCGACAGGCGCAAAATTGTTTGTAGAAATGCCATTAGACCATCGTAATTGAAGTTAGATATTGACAGTGGCACCTTAATTTACTCTGTTTAGTGTTGCAGTATTTCTTTACGTGCTACGATGTCCCAGTTTTCCGTTACGTATAACATCATCTTCGTACTCCGTTCCGTCACTGTTTGGACCATGTGGCCCATGCATTTTTCTGATTGTACCATCCATCGTAACAACTGGATGCCGGACCTAATTGGCCATAGATCGTTAACAGATAGTTATTTCCAATTTGGTAATTATTAATCACCTTTTTAACATCATTAATAATATTCATATCAAAGTGATTTCAATTCATCATTGCCCTTGCATCATTATTACTTTGATAAACTCAAGCTATTTATATCATTGTGATTTCAATTTGACTCATAATGACTTAATTTTGCATCCTTATATTAGATAAATTATTGAATAATTAAATTTGCAAATGCAATGAAAGTAGAATGTTTGAATATTGAAAATGCAACGGAATTAGAATATTTGAATATCGAAAATGTGTGTAATATAAAATTTTTGGCTTTTTGGGTTTGGTTAGGAATTTTCAGATTATCTTGATTTTCGGTCTACTAGTTCACTGTTAACATTGTTCTTTTTATCTTAGAAATGTCGATCTTAACTGCAAATCCCATGGTCTGCATCGCGAACCATGACAGTGAACAGACGATTATTTTCTGTATTAATTGTATACATTGTAGTATACAGAATATGTATTGCATTGTCAACCGGATCCGTTGGTAAATGAAGGATCTGCTTTGTGATCCTGAGGATCTTTGCCACCATCCAAAAGATTTTCATCGTACAACAGACTCTCTTAACATAACATAACATAGTGATGTCGGCTCTGAAGTGTAGGCCTGATGTGGCCTGTCGCCGATTCTTTTCCATTTCGTGCCTTGTTCACAGAAGATCTAAACTCGTGTCATTTGACCGGATCTTTTCATGACTGGCGATAGTTTGAAGAAGCTACTAGACTTCCACCGGGTTCGATAAGGAGCTAGGCATTTCAAATCTGAACATATATTTTTCCATAGCTTTATCTAGTCTGTTCTTGAACTCTCTTCATATTTTTTTATATGATCTTTATCGTGTGTATCACGATACAGGTCTAGATCTGCATCATGTGTATCACGATACATGTCCAGACCTGTATCATGATACACATGATACAGATCTAGCCGACGAGAAGTGGCAGCCAGCCATGCTGGGTCAGGCTGGCTTATTGATCAGCTGCAGCCACAAGCTGCCGCGGCTGAACTGCTTCCAGCCACCGGGGATCAGCAGGTGGTTTGCTTCAGCCACTTTAACTCCCGCCACGCCTTACACACACATCACACATATATCACACATGTTTACACACACATCACACATACATCACACATGTCTACACACACATCACACATATATCACACATGTCTACACACTCATCACACATATATCACACATGTCTACACACACATCACATATACATCACACATGTTTACACATACATCACACATGTCTACACACACATCACACATGTCTACACACATCACACATATATCACACATGTCTACACACACATCACACATGTATACACACACATCACACATACATCACACATGTCTACACACTCATCACACATATATCACACATGTCTACACATACATCACACATGTCTACACACTCATCACACATATATCACACATGTCTACACACACATCACACATACATCACACATGTTTACACACACAACACACATACATCACACATGTTTACACACACATCACACATACATCACATATGTTTACACACACATCACACATACATCACTCATGTCTCCACACATCACACAGCTGCGCACGAGTGTGACCCAAATACATTCAAACAAACTAAAAACTTTAAATTCGTCCGGAAAAAGCATTGATGAATATGATATTATCGATAGTTATGATATTCGACGATAGAAGACTTATAATTGAATTTCGACGATGGAAGGCTTATAATTGAAATAATTCCTAAAGGACCATGGGTAAGATTCATGGTTTCGTTAGAATGTGCTACCAGTTTTTGGCCGAGCTTCTAACATGATGCATGCACATCGATAACTAATCAGCACCTTAAG